TTGAAATGAGTGGACAGAAACTGGATCTGTCTTTGTAGGTGTTGGTCTAGAGCTCATTTGCTTTTGAAACTGGAGCTTTTTTAAACTAAGCAAAAAATTCTTGACGGGATGCTCAAACATCATGTGCTGGTTTTGGCTGGGGTGGAGTTAGTTTTCTTCCTAGTAGTTGATATTGGACTGTATTTTGGATTTGTGCTGAAAACAATGTTGATAATAAAGGGAGGTGTTCATTATTGCTGAGCCGTGCTCACAAAGAGTCAAGCAAGGCCTTTTCTGCTCCTCACCCCACCCACCAGTGAGAGGCCTGGTGGTGCACAAGAAGTTGGAAGGGGACACAGCCAGGACAGCTGACCCCAACTGACTAAAGAGATATTCCATACTGTAGAGCATCATGCTCAATGATAAAACTGGAGGGAGAAGGAGGAAGGAGGTGGTGTTCAGGGTGATGGTATTTGTCTTCTCAGGTAACTGTTTTTCTGTGATGGAACCTGGCTTTCCTGAGATGGCTGAACACCTTCCTCTTTCCTGGGCATAGTGATGCACCTCAGTGTTTTGTGTGGGGCTCAGAACTGGACACAGGATTCAAGGTGTGGCCTCACCGGTGCCTGAGTACAGGGGAGAAATCACTGCCCTGGTCCTGCTGGCCACATTGCTGATACAGGCCAGGATTCCGTTGGTCTTCTTGGCCACCTGGGCACACAGTGGCTCATGTTCAGCCACTGTTGAGCAGCACCCCCAGCTCCTTTCCCACTGGTCAGCTTTCCAGCCATTCTTCCCCAAGTCTGTAATGTAGCCTGGGGTTGTTGTGACCTAAGGGCAGGACCCGGTACTTGGCCTTGTTGTGCCTCATATGACTGGCTTTGGCCCGTTAATCCATCCTATCCAAATCCTTATTTTGTTTTGCTTGTGTGTGTGGCCTTTGTCTTTCATATTAAACTGTCTGTCTCAAGCCACAAGGTTTCTCACTTCTACTCTTCAGTTCTCTCCCTGCTTCCACTGTGGGGGAGTGAGCAAGTGGCTGTGTGGGGCTGAGTTGCCAGCTGGGGTTAAACCATGGCACACTGGAACAGGTTGTCTAGAGCAGCCTTGGAGTCTCCATTCTTGCAGGTGATCAACCCCTGACCAGACAAGGCCCTGAGAAACTTCTAGCTTTGAAATGACTGTGTTTTGAGCATGGGATAAGGACAGGTAACTTCCAAATCCTTGTTTAAACCTAAATTATTGTGAGTTTTAAACTCCTCCAAGTTAATAAAGCAAACTGAATTAAGTGTATTTGGAAGAGAGCTTGGACTCAAAAGTGCTAATAAAGGATATTAGAATTTATTTTGGGTAAGAGAAGAATTGATGTATAAAGAGAAGTGGCTGCATCAATGAGTTAGCTTCTTTCTCTGCAGTCCTGCCATACCTGTTGGTGTGTTCTTAACTCACAGAACATACAGAGTAATTTGTATAAATTCATCTTTTCCCCATGGTGTTGAGGGATGTGGTGAAGAATATGCATGTGATTTTTTAGTGTAGCTCAGCTGACATACTATATTTCATTGGTGTTCTAATAACTTGATGACATGCCTAGATCTTTTGGAGGCTTACTTATCAAGACTAAGAAGAAATACTTGATGTGGTGCAGTATGAAAAATGACTGCTTAAGGTAGAGATTAGTAAAAGAATTGTAGAGAAGAAGCTGGGAGAAATGATTAGTAGAATTAGAAGAACTATTATCAAATAGCAGTAATTGCAGTGGAGTTCACTAGGGATTGATTATGACTTTAGTATTTCTACTAGTGTGGCATATTGTGCTATTTGATGTGAGAAAAATAGTCAGTACACAGGTAACTTTACAAGAATGTGCTCTGAGGAAGCTAGACTGCCAGGAGAGAAAGCGGTTGTCTGGAGTAGAGTGGGTGGCACAGCTGAAGCTTCATATGAAATGACGCATGAGGTTCTTGCCATCTGTAGTCAAAAAAACCCAGATAAGTGCACAGATGAAGGGAGAGTGGAATAGGGAGTTTGGCAAAATGATCTAGGAGGAGCTAAGTTCATCTCAGCAAACGTGATGAGGCACTAATCACCAAACCAGGATAAGAACTCTTGTCAGTTAATTAAAGAAGTTGGCACAAGGATATTTTTATGTAAATTAATTACATTAAAACGTCTGCTTGTCTTAATGTTAAAGGTTTTCTGTAAAACCATGGAAGAGAAGAATATCACAAATTTAGAGGAGATGTCACCATTAATTTCTGTTACATAATGTAACACAACTTTTAGAAAGGAAGAAGCAATCAGTTCTAGAATACTTTTCTTGCAGTCTTGCAAACTCGATCACTAGCTCTGCATGGCGTTGCAGAAGCAAGGGGAACAGGTTTGCTAAAATAAACATGGTCATAGAACGTGTATTACCCTTAGAAATCTAATTACTTGGGCTGCTAATTCTATGCCATGATAAGGAATTTTGCTGCTTAGTTGCACAAGAAATTAAGTTGTCTGTACCATAATTATGTTAATAGTTCTGCTGGTAATGTTTGTAATCTCTTCACAATTTTAAATACTGAAAACTATCAGGTATCTTTAATCATACGTATTCTGAGAGCAAAAGCATTTTCTTTGCTTAACTGACTGGAACTGTTACTTTGTAGTGTGTTGTGAGCACTGTATTTTGTTTTGTAACAGTAACAAACAGTTCTATGGAACTTGGAAAAGCTGCACTAGTGCTTCTGCACAAGTCTTCTGCTCCCTTTGTGCTCTGTTTCCCTGTATGTATAATTAATATGGGTTCTGACTCTCAGCAGACCTATTTTGTAAGCTGCCGTGTTTCTTAACATTTATGTCATGCTAGAATATGACCCCAAAAGGAAACCGTCACGTTGTTTTCTGCTAGATTAATAAGTTAGATCAGTGCACTGAATGGCTTGACAAGTAGCAGAATTAGCACCAGGGGTGGAATAAGATGGGTTAGGTAGGATTGGTGTTGGGAGAAGACTAAGAGTGGGAAAAGTATGAATCAAGACTTACCTTGTTGGCAGTATTAGACTGTTGATGTATTCAACTGCAGTCAGTTAAGCAGTCTGCTGTCTTTTTACTCAGTTTAATGTGATCTTAGTAGGTATATATGGCCATGATAATTACCTCGGATTTTGTGACTATTTTACACTTCTATACTGTTAGTTATGTAGGTAATGAGGCCTAATTTTATAGACCGTCATTTACTTCTGCCATCATAAAACAGTCTTCCTGAATTTTGTTTCTCATGTTAAGTAAACAGAATTTTCCTGTGAACATCAGGGGAGGAGGAGTTGCAAGCAGCGATGTGAGGTACATCAAAGTGGCTTAGGTCTTTTCATTTTGCTCTTATGCTAATAATTGAAAATAACATAAAATATTATTGTATGTACAACTCACAATTGAAGTAAAACTGGATAGAAAGCAAGTAGTCTTTTAAGCAGTGAGGGACATATGATGGGAAGAAGGTAGAGTCCAGGCATGTAAATCCATCAGTAGTAAAGTTTTCTTGGTTTCTGCTGGGAGAATGGTGTGGCGGGGAGGGAGATGCATGTGTGTGTTTTTCTAATTTATTAAAGTAAGTGGGTTCTGCTGTAATTGAAATGACAACAACAGTCTTTATAAAAATAAGAAAAAATTGGAAAAAATAAGAAAAAATAACACAAGGGAGTTGTGGAAACGTTTTTTGTGAAATTAAAAGTATATAGCTATAGCTATTATTGAACAGCGATGTAGGAACTGTACAAAAAGAAACAGAATTATCACTGAATCCCCACTTGATGTCATTGTTCCAGATAGTGATGTTTTACCCACTTCACTGTATTTGTTTAAAAATCAAAATTCCAAGCTTCTAATCATAATCCACAGTTATACATCATAATAGAACAACATCATGCAGAGTTATGTATCAGTACAGGACAATAATTCTAGTTTCTGTTCAGGTAATTAAACCTTTGAAGCAATCAATTTTTATTTCTGCTGTTAGTGTTTGTGCAGTTTTAGTAAATTGCCACATATTAGCATCCTACCTGCAAATTATAAGAGGCCTATTAGTCTCAGCATGTGCCTGGAAGATTGCCAGAGCTCTGGTAGTTGTTTTCTTGCTTGATGTGATTGTCTGCACTTTTGATGCCTCGTGTTGCGTCAGTGGACTTCTGCTCGAGCAAGTGGGACCAGCTCCTAAAATTCTAACCATCTGTTGGAGAAGTCCCCTATCAGACATGTGTGTCTAAGTAAATACAGCAGTTCCTTGCTGATTTTCATGGCCGTTTTTAAAATTTCATTGCTTGAATATGGTGTAATGAAAACCTGCATGCTAGTAAAGGTCAGTAATGAGCTCTCACACAGAAGTAGCATTTTTCTTAATTTGACAGGTGTGTCACTTTATTGAAGAACTACTAAAGCATTTAAAACTTACCAGTCTGGACAAGCTAACACTTTGGGACTGCTGCATTATTTTGAATGAAAGACTTGTGTTCCACTGCTTAGAGAAAACTCAACAGAAACACCCCCCCCCCTTATGAAGTAAATAATCATCTACATGAAATATCAGGAATTGTAGGGATAGAACACAGAGTGATGGGTACAAATTGAAAGAGGGGACATTTAGGTTAGGTGTTGGGAAGACATTCATTACTCTGAAAGTAGCAAAACAGCTGGAACAAGTTGCCCAGGGAGGTTGTGGGTGTCCCAACCCTGGCAGCACTGGCCTTGAGCGATCTGGTCTAGTAGAAGTTGGCGTGGAGGTTGGGACTAGATGGTCTTTAACATTCTGTGATTATGTTCTACATGTGGATCCACAAAAATTTAAGAATGATACAGCCTTTTTCATGGGGATGGAAGATGGTTAATAAAAACCACTAAATGAGAGTATGTGCAAATAGAAGGCTGCTCCAGATCTGTCTGTAGAACAGGCAAAGTATTAATCAAATCTGCGACTTTGCAATGTGTAGGCATCAGCTTTGTACGTTGGATTAATTACTTACTGTCTTCTGCCAATACAGCCAGCAGCCAGCTTCGGGTGTAGCCTATTCCCATCCAACCACAGTTGCCAGCTACACTGTCCACCAGGCCCCGGTGGCGGCACACACGGTCACTGCAGCCTATGCCCCGGCCGCAGCCACGGTGGCGGTGGCCAGGCCTGCCCCGGTGGCCGTGGCAGCTGCTGCCACAGCTGCTGCCTACGGTGGCTATCCCACAGCACACACAGCTACAGACTACGGCTACACACAGCGGCAACAAGAAGCTCCACCACCACCACCTCCTGTCACCACGCAGAATTACCAGGTAGGTTCCTGCTGTGTGATTTTTAAAAGGTGCTTTGAGAGGAGGAAGCCTGTTTGGAAAAGAAAATGTGATTTTGTGCAAGTGCTGCTGTAAAAAAAAAAGCTTAGATGTTGGCTTGGTGTGCAGTAAACTGGGTCATGGAGCTGAAAAGACTGTTCCAGTAAAAATTTTCAGTAGAGGTAGAAATAGTTCCTTTGTCAGATTCCTGGGTGCCGCTGGAATCTCGTACCAAGCCTATGAGGACAGAAGGTTGCCCTAGGAGATAAACTACCCTGTAGGTAGTTTTTAGATATCCTCTTCTGAGATCTCTGCCTAACCATCTGTGGATACACACTCTTGAAACAGGGCTTTTGCTCTCTGTCCCCTTTCATCTTGAAATACTGTGTTCTTGCAATAGTTTTTCAGCTTTTTAATTCTGAACTTACCACAGCATTATCTAGATTCTAATTAGCATTTTGGTTTGTTTAAAAGGACTGTATTATTGCTGCATGTTCTCAATTCTTTTTTACATCTTCTGTAATTTGTTATATATTATGAGGTCAGTTATTAGATACATTTGGAAAAGAAGGAGTCCCCTAAATGAAATAAAATAATTCCTGTTTACACAGGTTGGGCGAAAAAAGATTTTGTTGTTGTATTTCTTGGAATTAAAAAGGATTTTAATGCAATAGTGTGCTTCAGCTCTAGTAGTTCATGCCTTGTTCCCCCTCACTTGATAAACTTTTGTGTTTTACCATAAACATGGTGAGGATGGGAGAATGTATGTACATGCATGTAGTGGCTTCTAGGTTATCCCCTTCTAAGCTTATTAGGCATCTACTGAGTTGTAAAGGTATCAAATGAGCTACTTGCCTTGCCTTTGAAGATTAGTTACGGTTCCCTAATGAACTAGTTGATACACCAAAAAGTAAAGAAGGCTTTAAAAATACCACTGTCATACTCTAAAAAATGTAATCAAGAAGAATGTTGTTAATGATGAGAATTTTAAAGCCAATACAGGCTCATGTTTCTGCCCCTGAGAATTTATTGGGCCTTGTAGAAATTCATGTTTTGTAGAGATCTATGGTTGTTTTTTTTCTTAATATTTTACAGAAATAGAATCTGATACAGTCATTAAAAACTATTGAGAGTAGATGCTTTTCAAAAATAATTTGGTAGAGAAAGGGATTAATAACATGAGGATAATTCCAGTGTTGAGTCTGTAAGAGGAGGTTGGGGCTGTTTCAGGTCTGAAGTATCTATGAAAGTAAGTTTAATTTCTCTAATGCATTTATTGGTGTATACTGTACATGTAGATGGGGAGGTTTCATTCTACTGGAGTAGGCCAGAAGACAGTATGTTGTTAATTTGACTGTGCTGATCATGTCTATTACTCTAGTGATATACCTACAGGTGGTTTCTCTGTCTTGAATCCTTAGGATTCCTACTCTTACGTTCGATCCACTGCCCCGGCTGTGGCGTACGACAGCAAACAATATTATCAGCAGCCAACCGCGACTGCGGCGGCCGTGGCTGCTGCTGCCCAGCCACAGCCCTCAGTGGCTGAGTCCTACTACCAGACAGGTGGGTAGCATGATTCAAGCTGCTCTTGTTACTCACAGTCTTGTCAACTACTTTAAGCCTTAAAAATAGTTGTTTGACTGCTTCACATTATCTTCGTTTTTTGTTTTAAGTTTTGTTGTGTAATCTCTGTCACTGTGTGGAAAGTTTTTCTGTCCCTAGAACACTTGTGACATTGCCATAAGTAGCTGCCTCTGAGGTTTGGACTGCCACTAAATATACTCAAAACATACTTCTAGGCAAAATTCTTTATGATTTGTCTAGAACCCTTGCTGAGGTAGTTCAGGTAATCAGTGTTGTGTTCAGATGATAACTCAATTAGAAATACTCTTTTGATTCTCTAGGTACTTCATGTATATAATTCTGTAGTTATTTGTATCATGATTGCTACAAAGCATGAATCCTGCTTAGTTTTTTTTAATGTAGAATTAAGAGGAAAGTTTAAGTGTGCTTTGGTTTGGAGTATTCTAGTAAAATTGTTGGACAAGAAGGTTGTTTAAAACTGTGTTAAAAACATGATAGCACTGCTAAAAATAAATAAATAAATTTAAGGCTTACTACGGTGAGCTGTGACTTGATTGAGATACGTGGTATGCAATGCATAGCCATGACAGTAAAGCAACCCAATGCACAACTCTAAAAAGCAAAACAAATGAAACAAAACTCCCAAAACAAACCCCCACTACTTAGACATTTGTTCACAAGCATGTTGTTAATTTTCCCTTAGTATGGTTTGCATTTCACTCAACTAAAACATGTCAATGTGTCTACACTTGTATTTTCTCTCATGATTAGCTCCAAAAGCAGGATATAGCCAAGGTGCAACTCAGTACACCCAAGCCCAGCAAACGCGGCAAGTGACAGCTATAAAACCTGCAACCCCGAGTCCAGCAACAACGACATTTTCCATATATCCGGTTCTGTATTATGTGTTATTCTACTGTGCTTTATTCTACTATACTTTATTCATAATTTCTTCAGCTAAAAAGCCTTACCCTCTTAAGAGTCACAGAATTGCAGAATGGCGTGGGTTGGAAAGGACCTTGAAAATCATCCGGTTCCAGATCTGTGCTGTAGGCAGGGACACCTTCACCAGAGCAGGTTGTTCAGCGCCCCATCCAGCCTGGCCTTGAGCACTTCCACAGATGGGGCACCCACAGCTTCTCTGGGCAGCTGTGCCAGTGCATCATCACCCTCACCATAAAGAATATCTTCTTAATACCTAAACCTGTTTTCTTTCAGTTTGAAGCCATTGCCTCTTGTCCTGTCACTCCATGCTTTTGTAAAAAGTCTTTCTTCATCTTTCTTACAAACTTCCTTTATGTAGTGGAAGGTCCCAGTTAGGTCACCCCAAAGCCTTTTCCAGGCTGAACAAACCAAATTGTCTTAGCCTTTCCTCACAGGAGGGGTGCTCCATCCCTCTAATCAAGAGTATTTGTAATTTTTAGACCTGATTCTATACTTGTACTAAAGGAATAATGAAATAAAAATGTGTACTATTATAGAAAGAGTTCTTGTTGAAGGTGTAAAGATACGCCCTGAGTTTGTACAGAGGAACTTCACCAGACTTCAGAATTATTTGAAACTTTGAATGTGATTTGTTTCTTTAGCTTAGGAAACTTCTTAGAAAATAGTGTTTTGAAAGCTGTGGAGTTACACAAGTTTTGTGAATGGGAAACCTGAAAATTTATTCTTCATTATATTCCAGTTTCCCAGTTTAGTGTCACAGTGGTAAAACTGCCTAGAAAGTAGATACAAAGTCATGCAGAATATTTATGTCTGAGTCTGGCTAATCAGTTCTTTTACTTTAGGTAAACTAGTCATTATTTCCTATCCTGTCTGCTCTAGATTGCCAGGGTTGATATAGGAACTAATACCAACCTCTGTATTTCATTTCCAGTACAGGTTATTTGTGCACTGCCTTCTTTTAAATTGATTTTTCTGTTTATCTGGATACACATAAAGTTTGAGTGAAGCTGAAAAATCAAGAATAATTGAATGCAATGCAGGAAACTGCAGTTTCTGATCCTATCAAGTTTTTAGTGGTGGTACGTCTTGACCACTACTCGATTGGGAAATTGAGAAGTTAGAGGAGAAAAACCTGTATTGTTTTACCTAAGTGTGGGATTCTGATGCTGGAGAGGAAAATTTTCTGGTCTTAGAAGTGGCCTGTTAATGCATGCCATACCACAGGAATGTTGAGTGTAGGAGGTACTTCCTGGCTAAAATGTGTGTTTTCTGCCATGTTCTGTATTACGTGTATTCACGGGAATGATGAACCAGCTTACTGTATGTTTTGTTTATTTAAACAGACTTACAAAGAACACTTAGAAGGCCAGAAACACAAAAAGAAAGAAGCAGCATTAAAAGCTTCCCAGAACACCACCAACAACAGTACTTCTGCTCGTGGAACTCAGAATCAGTTGCGCTGTGAGCTCTGTGATGTGTCTTGTACCGGGGCAGATGCTTATGCTGCCCATATCCGTGGAGCCAAGCATCAGAAAGTAAGAGATTTCTATTGTTCTTACCATGCAAGTCAGTATATACATTTCTCCCCATAATTTTTTCTCATTTTAAGGAAGAAGAAAATATGCAGAAACAGTATAATTTAAACTATTTTATTTGAAGATTTTAGTTCTTCATTTCCTTTCAAACTTGTCTTTAGGCTCACTATTAGAAGGGGATTGTTGAGAGGAAGGGAGAAAATATTGAGATGGCATCAATGAAAAGAGGATATATTGGGATATCATTCAAATCACAGGAAGAAGGTGTGGCATGAGATGAGGGAAGGGTACCATTGAGGACATGTGGTACTATGCTTGTGCCCCCTAACTTTCCTCAAGACCTTTCTTTAGGTTCATCTTACTTGTCGGGCTGGGACAGTAAATCTTTCAGTGCACTTTGAAACACTGTAAGCTAAACCAGTGCAAAGAACAGGTGTTAGGCATCATTCTTTGGTAGTTCCTGCAAAGAAAATGTCCTCTGGAAACAAGGAGCTGTGTCCTATGGTAGACTTTATAGAAGACTTCTGGTATGCATGTTTTTCTTATTGTTTGGGTGCTCTTGTATTCTGGAATAAAAACTGTGGGCTGCACTGTGAAATGCTGTGACCTGTGTTTTAAACTTGGCCATACAACAGTAAGTGCAATGATAGGTAGAATATGTGTGTAAGAATCACAGATTTTCCTCATAACTCTGGAAAGATTAATGTCACTAACAAATACAGTATTAATACTCTGCTTTTATACTCTTTACATCTCAGGACACAGGCATCAGTATCATTGTTCCTACTAAAATAAATAAATCTCATAGCATGTTTAAAATAATCTTCCTCCAAGAGCAAAAATCAAAATTTAGAGAACCTTGTCCAGGTAGTAAAGTGAGCCACTACTTTCTTGGGTGGTTCTCCATAATTCCATAGGTATATGGAGTACAGTATGTATTATCCTTTTATATTTGGATATAGTTTTCTCTTTGTGATAGTTGCAAGCCATTGCTGGGTTTAGGTTCTTACCAGTGTGAAAATGGTATCTCAAAGGACTATATTGCTGAGGTAACTAGAGAACTGTGTGCACTCCACTGGAAAAAAGTAATTTTGAACAGTTGCTTGAGTTTAAATTTATACTGTTGTGTGACATTAATATGTCAGTATTCTGATAGGGAAGATAAAAAATAAGAACAAAAGCCTAAGAAATCAATTTGGACAGTTGTGTGCATATCATGATTGTGTATATGTTCACGTTTAAGGCATGTCTCACAGGTTTGTGATTTTTTTTATTGCTGTTTTCAACACTCAGTCTTTAGTTTTGATGTTGCCTATTTTTTTATATGGATTACTTGCATTGCTTTTTCAGATAGTGGTCAGCAGACACCAAAAAGAAGTATTATTCCATGAGAGACATGTTATAGAAGGGCCTGTACTTATTAATTCTAATAAGCATGTACCTCTTTACTTTCTATACAATACTAAAGAGCTCTGAAGTACCTCTTGAAGACTCCTTAACTATTTCTAAACATCAGAAAAAAAAGAAAAAAAAAAAAAAAAAAAGGAAGGCATTTGCTTAAGGAATCTCTTCAGCTTGGCTAAATAGCGTGTAAAGTTATTTGGTATGAAGGCTCTTCAAATGTAGCAATCAAAAGACACAGTGTTGCTGAATATGAATTAAATAACTCTTAGTTACAAATATTGTTTGGAACCTAAACAGTTCAGTGTTCTGCCCTTTCGAGTGAGACTAAAAAGTGATGCGGCAACAAAATAGACACATTGAAACACTAGGAGCAAAATGTATTCTTGAACTTATTCTGATTGTAAGATTGTTGTGTTTCTGTTCCTATCTAAACAGCTGTGGGAGTAAATGCATGAATTTCTAATACAAGTAAGCAATGTGAGCTAACAAGTACCTATTTCCTTGTTATAGATGACAAGAGCTTTTACATGTCCATCTTTTTTCTTTCCTAAGACCATTTTTTGTAAAAAAACAAGCTAACTCCTTCTTTATATTTATTTTTTAGATATTGATATTTTTGCTTGTGATACATTATTTTTAGAGCTATCTCAGGGAGATCATGTTATGAATTTCTCTTCCTACTTACAGGTAGTAAAGTTGCATACAAAACTTGGCAAACCCATTCCTTCGACTGAACCAAATGTGGTTACCCAAGCTACTTCCTCAACATCCACATCTGCTTCCAAGCCAACGGCCTCTGCTTCAAATATAGCAACTAGCAGCAGTACAGTGAACTCCTCTGTTGCGTCTTCTGCAGTGAAAGTTCTTACTCCCACGGCAAACACACCACTTAACACTGCATCCAACAACAAAACATCTTCAACCGCTGCTAACATAGCTGTAAAGAAAATATCTACACCGAAAATAAACTTTGTTGGCAAGTACAGAAGTCAGTCTTTATTTTGAAACCTAACCTATTCTGTAAATTTTTCTTAAGAACTAGTGCAGCAGACACAAATGTATTTAGGTAACCCCATGCATGAGTTACTCCACTGTGTTTAAGGGAATTACTGATAAGTGAGAATGTCTATAAAAGTTTTGCTTCAAAATTGATGGTGTTTTCTGCCCAGTTGTCTCCACCCTCTTGAATACTTTTCCCACCTTCATAAGAAGCCTCCCACCTTTGGTTTCTTATGTAGTAGCTGCTGGAGTACTGCAGTTTTTAGTCCTAATTTCAGTTCACAGCCTGGGCTGTTAATGCACCTGCAATAGATTGGCAGTTTGTGCTGGACAACTGAAACATCCTTTTTCAGTGGAAAACTAACCATGTAAACTTTAAACTGAGCAGAACAGAGATGTGAAGCATCTGTTCCACAATAAGCTATCCTGCTCTTCAAGGAAAGACCTATACAGTTGTAACACTAGGGGTGTACTGCCTTTATTAGTACAAACTTTATTAAGTTTTGAAGTACTTTTTTTTTATACATTTATAAAATAACAAAAAATATATTGTTAAAATATATTTTCTGAGTTGTTCCCCATTCAGTCCTGTCCCTTGATAAAGCAGGAAAACAAATAACAAAAATGGTGGTTTTTTAAAGCAGAAGTTTTTCTTGTTAGAATACACAACTTCAGTGTTTAACCTGAATGTTGTCAAATTTACTGTTAAAATATTTAATTGTACTGAAAATATATTTAAGTTTTGGTTGAATTTAAAATCTGATAGATTTTAAAATACCTATAATTCTTTGCCCAGATCATAGGTATTTGCAAATAAAATCTTCAGTTTGCACATTATGTTTAATCACATTCTTATTTTATGAAGAGTAATAATTTTTGGTTTTTTATTTCTAGGTGGTAATAAGCTTCAGACAACAGGAAGTAAAATGGAAGAAATGAAATCAGCAGAAAGTGTTAAAACACCTCCTGCTGCTACAGTGCAAACACAGGAAGTAAAACCTGACACAGCAGCTGAACCAGTGACTCCCACAACTCTTGCTGCCTTGCAAAGTGATGTCCAACCAGTGGGCCATGACTATGTGGAGGAGGTATTAATATGAAAATATGTATTATTTTTTTAACTGTTATAGTGAAACATAATCATAGAGTGATTGAGGTTGGCAGGGACTTCTTTAGATCATGTGGTTCATTCACCCTGCTTAAGAAGGACCACCTACGGCCAGTCACCCAGGACGACATCCAGATGTTTTTTGAGAATGTCAGAGGATGGAGACTTCATAACTTCCCTGAGCAGTTGTAAGAGAGCATGGTCAGTCACAATAAAACAGTGCTCTGATGTTCAGCTATTTTTCACTTGGTGCTAATTGTCTCTGGTCCTGGCACTGGGCAGCACTGAAAAAAGTCTGGCTGTGTCCTCTTTGCACCCTTCCTCCAGGTATTTATATGCACTGATATGATCCCCCTCAGCCTCCTCTTCCCTAGCTGAGACAGTTGAGGTCCCTCTGGATGTTAGTGCAACCCTTTGGCATTTCAGCTGCTTCTGTTAGTTTTGTGTCATCAGCAAACTAGCTGAAGATACATTCTCCCCCATCATCCAGAGCTTTACTGAAGATGTTACAGGACTGTGTTGATCCTGGGGCTGCATTGCTGACTCCTGGCCTCCAACTGGGCTTCATTCTGCTGATCAGCACCCTTGGCCAGGCTGTTCAGACAGCTTTCAGTCCACTTCACTGTACACTTATCCAGCCTATGCTGGATATAGTGGCTTGTGTAGGAGGATATTGTGGTGAGACTCTGTCCAAGGTTTTACTGAAGTCCACAGGGACAGTCTTGAGTGCTCTGCCAGGCCTTCACCTTGCTGAAGTCCTGGAGCTGACTGTTCCTGATGGTTTTCTTGCCCTCACTGTACTTGGAAATGGTTTCAAGGATTAGCTGCTCCATTGCCTTCCCAGAGATCAAGATGAAGTTGACTGTGATTCCCTGGGTTCTCCTTGAAGATAAGAGTTGACCGTGCATTGAGCCCGCGAAGGCTTGTGCATATGTTTACATTTTTGTGTTGTGCATATTTCTTTTTTGCTTCATGTGATTGGTATGAGATAGGTGGATCAACTCTGATGTAAATTTTGCATGATACACAGGTCTGTGATTTATTGGCTCACTATGTTCAGGTTTGAATGTACAGCTGTGTACTCTTTGGAATGGAAGGACCTTGTTCCCTGCTCAATACCAAGCACAATAGTGTGTCTGTCAGAAATGAACGTTCTACTTTTCTACTTTGCCTTCTTTCAGTTATTGTGTGAACTTCTTAACGTATTTTGGGACAGGTAGACATCATCTAGTGGCACTGGATAATTAGATTAATGGATAATTTAATTTTATATCAGCCTTATAAGATAAAAAAGAAATGACCAAATGTGTTATAACTTTATTTTCCAGGTAAGGAATGATGAAGGAAAGGTGATCCGTTTTCACTGTAAACTCTGTGAATGCAGTTTCAATGATCCTAATGCCAAGGAGATGCATTTGAAAGGGCGGCGGCACAGACTTCAGTACAAGGTAAAAATGCTAATGCTTCTCTCTGAAAATCGAACAGATATCAGCTAACCTCTTCTTTGGTTTAAAGGCACTCTGAGTAAACAGCATGTAGAAAAAGATAAATGTATTTCATAGGCAGTATGGTTTTTAAAGAATAATGCAAACAGTGAAACTATATTTTGGTTGAGGCTTTTTAAAATGTTTTGAATGTTTCTTGTAGTCCAAATGACGTAAGGAAGAATAGATTCTTTATGTTGCTTACCATGAAGTTTATAGAGTATAAAGGAGTATTGCTCAGTGGTTTTGGTAGGTCACACACACTTTGTGTTGCAGACTTTTTAATGGTAAGTGCATTTGTGCAGTTCTAAAACTGCATTTTACTCCTTTTGATTTTATTGTAGATGAGTAGTGTATGTTAAATATGTCAGAACTACTCCATGACCTTGAGATGAGGACAGGAAAGTAACATTTAATTCATTACTTTTCTCATCTAGAAAAAAGTAAACCCAGACTTACAAGTAGAAGTGAAGCCCAGTATTCGAGCAAGAAAAATTCAAGAAGAAAAGATGAGGAAACAGATGCAGAAAGAAGAATACTGGAGAAGACGAGAAGAGGAGGAACGCTGGAGGATGGAAATGAGGTAATGCATTATGTTTCATGAATGAATGCGACAACATGCTGTCAGATTGTCTGAAACTAAGCTCCATAGTTACTTATTTTAAATACTTTAGGGAACTGTGTACTGTTGTGTTTTAAATTGTCATTCTCTCACTGGGATTTTTGTTTGCTGCTGTTCAATCCTTCTGAGTAATGCAGAGTTAGTAGAATTACTTTGCCGTAAATGCAGACCTACTTTTACAGCAATAATTCCTGTTGTTGCTGTCTCTTCATTGGTATTTGCTTATGACTCCTAGAAGTTGTTGAGGACAGAGAAGGATCTGTCCAGAGTAGTGTCAAGTATTAACTGCTGCATAGTAAGAACACTTTGATTGATGCACTTCAGACGGTATGAAGAGGACATGTACTGGAGGAGAATGGAGGAAGAGCAGCATCACTGGGATGACCGTCGCAGAATACCAGATGGAGGATATCCTCATGGCCCTCCAGGACCACTAGGTCTGCTGGGAGTTAGACCTGGAATGCCTCCTCAACCCCAAGGACCAGCCGTGAGTTTCTTAACTTGAGAAAGAAGCTAAGCTGTTCTTACCAGGAGGCACAGTTAAGAATTATAAAATAACTCAGTGCTACTTCACTTGTCTCTGGTGTTTCCTAATAAAGGATTTGGAAAAGAGAAGAAGAAATTATATGCTAATGAAACGATGTAGGTGTACTAGTCCTCCAAAATAAGTCCAATTAAATGACAAGAGGATGCTTTAAATATTGCTTCTTATGAAACTAAGTCGTACTGGATTTTTTTATTTTATTTGATTGTGTTATACAACATTATTTACCTAATTGTGGACTAATGCATGGATAAAAAGTGTCTGGGTCATCAGTCTTGGAGAATAATGGTTAGTGGTGCATCATACTGTGGCAGTGTGGAGTGCAGTACCACATGGGTTGATTCTGGCCTAAGCACCTTATCAGGGGTCTGAAAGGTGATGGAGTGAGTGCAGACTGCTGAGGTTTGCACTGCCATGAACCTGAATCATGTTGGGTTGGGGAGAAGAGCTGATAGCTTGGATGCCAAGGCCACCATCCAGAGGCACCTAGGTAGGAGTGGAATATTATGGAATTCTGCAAGTACAAATGCCTAATGCTGCCCACAGAGAGGAAGAACCCCTTGCGCTGATAGAGGCTGGGTAGCAGCTCTGCTGAAAAGGATCTGGGGGTCCTGGCAAACAACAGTCTGGGCATGTGTCAGCAGCATACCCTGGCAGCAGGGCCAGCAGCTGCCTGGGCTTTAACAGGAGCACAGTCAGTAGATTAAGGGAAGTGATCAGCTTTCATTAGACCCTAACTTCAATATTACATTTAATTTTGGGCTTTTCAGTTCTGATGCTTAAAGCATAACAGGCTCAGTGTGGAGCTACCAAGATGTTCAGGAGTCTGGAACACTTGCCCTGTGAGGAGAGACTCAGGCATCTGGAATTGTTCAGCCTGGAGAAGAGGGAGCTTCAGTGGGACAGGATAGCCTTCTAATAGCTGTGCTTTATAAAGGGCATGGAGCCTGGCTTTTTATAGTCATGAGAGGGTGAGATACATCCAGCATAAGCAAACACAAAGGAGATTTAGACTGAATTCAGGAAGTCACCTTTTCTCGTACAGGTGATGTGCAGCCGCCATCTTTGAAGGTTTTCAAAAACTAACAGGCTAAAGCCCTCAGCAACATGATGTGGTCTTACAGCTGACCATGTTTTGAACAGATTAGACTAGATGAGCTTCTGAGGGCATCCTGTACATCCTGTACAATCCTGTGATTGTACAAAAGTGATCATAGATACTTGATTTTGCAGCAATATCCAAGTATTTTCCAGTTGATAAAAAGGCAAGGGATATTAATGTTGAGGAGTACCTCTGATCTTGGGATTTGGCCTTAGTTTATTTTTTGATGCGCTTCATGTCCTTTCAGACATGATTGATTGTGACAGTGTAGGCTGTTGAGGAAACTTCATGTTTTGTTACATTTCAGAGATGTGGGGTTTGAGTATTCTGTTCCTTAGCCACATGTTGGGTTTTAGTCATTTTGTTTCATTTGTGAACTTGGAAGTGCACCCAGGTTTCAGAAGAACACTTTTTTGTCTGTTCAGCCTCTGCGCCGCCCTGACTCCTCTGATGACCGCTATGTGATGACCAAGCATGCTGCTATATATCCAACTGAGGAGGAACTTCAGGCAGTCCAAAAAATTGTTTCTATTACTGAGCGTGCTTTGAAGCTGGTTTCTGACAGCATGACTGATCATGAAAAAAGCAAGAACAAAGAGGGAGATGACAAAAAGGATGGCAGTAAAGACAGGTATTTTTTAAATTCCTTTTTAAGAATTTTATTGTTTTTCCTTACCCTGTTATCAGTGCTTCCAGGATCTCATCTCTATGGGCTTTTATGCAGTATTTTGAAGTCTCAGAAAGATGTGGAGTACTATTTTATTTTACTTTTCTATCTTCAGGATTATTATGATTTTTACATTATTATTTTAAATGCAACTTTTGACTACAATTCACAGAGCTTTGAAAGGCGTTTTACGGGTGGGCGTTTTGGCTAAAGGTTTGTTACTCCGTGGAGACCGAAATGTCAATCTTGTTTTGTTGTGTGCTGAGAAGCCCTCCAAGACATTACTCAGTCGTATTGCTGAAAGCCTCCCTAAGCAACTTGCAGTAAGTAGAATTTAGATTTTCAGATGTGAGTTTTTGTAAAATAATGTGAAAATCTGTCCTCAAGTTAAATGTCTGCAGGACTCACTGTGCTGCTACACAACATAGCTCAGGTTCAGTTTCTTTCCATTTTCTGTGTGTTTTCATCTGAATTCAGAGAACTGCTGCATGTTCTGCTTCCTCCATATCGTGTCCATACAAGCATGTGCTCTAGCAGTGTAGTATCAATCACTATTTAACAGATTTCTTTTATTTGGGAAATAGAAATGAGCACAAGAAAGGCCATTAATCAGTTACCAGTAGCAATAGAGGTAATTACGGCATGTTGTGTGTTACAGCATGCCTCGTGCCTCAAGGTCAAAGTTCTCTATTAATGCCAGTCTTTTATATCTTGTTTCCTTATTGTATGTATCAGTGGTTTATAGTTCAAAATTAGCCAGCTAAATCTAGTCTGGGTTTTTTTAAATTTGAACCTTTAAAAAAGTAAACATGCAATCTTAGATCATTTAGTGAGATACAAACCTTTTGTAGTGTTTGTATCTTAGGAAAGTGTAAAGTCTCTGCTCTCTGCTGAACAAAGCCTGTCACTGTAGAGTGCTTGTCACAGCATTAGTATTTCAATGCAGTCTAGTAAAATGCTTGACAGAATCACTGGCATGAGCAGATTAATGAAAAAATAGTCTCAAGTTTGCTCTTGTTTGAAGTAACAGAAGTAAATTTAATAAATGGATATTTTGGTCTTTCTTCATGGAAATGTTCACCATATATGTAGAAGGTCACAGAGGTGTCTACAGCTTTCTTTTGGAGCTATTTGGAATTATTGAATAACATTGCAAAAAGCAACTTAAAATAAACACTTTATTAGTTAATCTTACATTTTTTCCCTGGTGCTTATCTTGCCCCTTTTTTTTAGCATGTTGTGACACCAAAGCACAGGATGTACCTAGCAATACCCATTTGTAACTGTGAGCTTAAAAAATATGCATCTTTGCTTTTCAAAGACTTCTGTGTTCCAGTGAGAAACACCCTGCTGACATTTTAATTGGCTCTGAGGCTTTTCTTTATTTTAAACACCATGAAGATTCTTGCTATGTAATTTATAGAATTTTCCTTTCTGGGCAGTTTTTTTTTAATTCTAACTGATTGTGTATTTTCCTTAATAATTTGGACACAATATAAAAGTCTTTATATTTATATATTTATATATATATATATATATATCTATATCTTCTACAAATAGGAAATCCAAGGCTGTTTTAACACTTCTCATATACAGGTTGAAAGAAATTTTATGTGTGTATGTATACATGTGCTTGTGTATATACGTATTTATATAAGCCACTAAGGTTTTTTTTATACTTCATCTCATCACTACATGTCCTCTAAAATACTTGAGGTTTTTATATTGCATTACTAAGTGTCCTGTAGCTGTGACTAGTGCATTTATAAGCAAGCTATGTTAACAAAGTCATCCTACATAATCAGAAAGAAAAATTTTCAACATGCTAAAGCTCAGTGTCACACCTGCCATGCTTTACAAAGGAGGGGTTTGGATGCATAGTCCTAGCATCTGCTGTTACTTTGTGTTTGGTTTTTGTTGTTTCTTGTTTTTTTCTTTTCGTCTTTGTCTCTCTCCTAGAATGAAGCAGTGTTCACACTAGTCTTGTAATAGTTGACTGGATAAAATGCATTTTACGTAATAAAACTTACCTAAATTGACATACCTGTTAACTTCTAATGAAGAGGTAGTGTGGACACAGCACGTCTAATTAAAGATTAACCCCTTATGTTTAGGCTAGTAGTAAGTTATACAGGGTAAGAATTCATGCCCGTGTTTTGTAAATTAATTCAGTTTTTGTCCTAGTTTAGTAGGGTGGCAGGTTAGGCATCTGATTTTAGTTACACTGTCTTTAAGGGGTTAATCCAGAAGTGTGAAACATATGCAAAAATCCACAGAATAAATATTACAGGAGTTCCCTTGATACATTTTTTCAGTCATTGTTTTTTCAGTATAGTACCTGCTTCATCAACTTCTGACTTTCAGAGTCTTTTTAAGTTCCAGGGATATTCTTATGACAGCTATTAGTAACCCATTTTAGATTAACATTTCCAGCACTAAGATTCTTTCCTGTACATCTAAATTGCAATTCTTCTCTCTAAAACTATTTTACAAGTTGAAGGTTTTCGGAGGTAGAAATTTTAAATTATTAATGAATTATTGTGCTAAAAGTTTGCACAGTGTCACCTATTTGCATATTAGTTTTAGAAAAGTGTAAATAATTGATTAGACTGATTAGACTATTGGCCTCACAGCAGATATTTGCATTTTTATTTTCTCAACCTTATTTTGCCACTTTTTCCTGTGGTGTTTTTTTAGGCCATACTCCTTGTCTCATATATCTGGGTTGTACTCCTTTCATCACATAGCTTTAGCTGGCACCCCTCCTGTTTAGGTTTGGAGGGCATTTTTTGTTGTTTTTTGTTTGGTTTGGGTTTTTTGGTTTTTAATCAGTTTTGTTTTAAAAGAAACATCACCTTAAGCATCATAATTTGCTCTGTAATTGCATTGTTAGTGAAGATTTTAATTTTTCCACTTTAATATATAGTCTGTAAGTTGGAATATCTGTGTGAGAAGTTACCTGTGTTCTTCTCAACTTTGCTCTTATGAAGTCTTCACCTTTTTATCCCTGTGCAAAGCAATGGGACTATCCTATCAAAATGCTCAAATCTGAATATAGTACTTCACATTAAATTTAGTTACTATACTGCAGAGCTATACTACCATGTTAATTCATGGCCTTTTAGCTCTATATACTAAAGAATCCTACTATTTTACATTTGTGTTTTCAGAGCACAATTTCTGCAACATATCTAAAAGCTTCTCGTTGCAGGCATGTTTCATGAGCCTCATTATTTTTTATTTTATTTTATTCCCTGGCTTAACCTAAGTTTAGATTTTGAAGGAGTAAACTGTACTGTTCCAAAGAGCTACCTCCTGTGACATGTGTGCCATTGAGTGAGGGCTTTTTGTTTCATCTTATTTGGTGTATCACCAGTTACACTGGCAATGTCTGTTGTGACTAGTCACCGTAGCCATTTTCAGAATGAGTAAGCAAGTAACTTCTAATGGTGATCACTGATCTGATTATATCCGTATAGTTTTCAAGTAACTCAAGGATACCATTTCACATTGTTTAGTGGTTCCAGTTTCACTGATTAAACCACTTCTCTGGTCTCTTCCTCTTTGTTAGCAAAGCAGTCAGCTTGGTAATTAAATTATTTCCTGGATATTTAAATAGGCAATGTCTGCTATGTTTTCTCCATCTTTCAGACATTTTGCTTTGTTTTTTAGACTATTCCTTGCTTTCTTTATCTTGGTGAGTCTTTGGTAAAGCAGTCCCTTTTCAGATCCTTCCTTGCATCCTAAGTGTTGCTGGAATATATCTGTTATGGGATGAGGAATTTTATTTATATGGGAAGGAGAGAAAGTGCTAGCAAACAAGGAACTCTGTAATATTGAAGATCATGTCACATTCATTTAGTCAGGTTTTTTAAGTAAAATAATTTTAAGTTTAAGGCATTATAAAAATAACATCATTACTAAATATTCAATGTTTTTAAGATTTGTTATACTTAGTTTATTTTTTCAAGAATAGGTCCCAAATAACACCTGACAATTAAAATTTAAAAGAAACTAAGTTTGAGTGTTTCTACTTGGTTAAAGTGGATTTTTGTGTTCCTTCTGTCTTGTGTTCTCTGTGCTGGTGCACTGTGTCCAACCATCCTTCCTTCGGTATTTAATTTTAGGGGATATGTGTTTTTCCACTGTTAGCTGAAATAAAGAAGTACTATGCATTGCATAATCAGCAATGCAGTTGAAAATAACTTCAGAGCTGAAGCATTATGCTCTTGATCATTCTACTGGGTCAATGCCCTAATCCTAATTGAGCCACTACTGCTGAACATTTACATTTCTTATTCAAGGGTTTAAACTTTAAATGGCATGTGTGACATTGAAGCTATTTAAGGAAGTGTCTTGCTCACCTGGTCAAACACCCATTCCTCACTGCATTTTGCCAATTCAATCCATTTTAGATGTAACCTCGGGTATGGTGAAAGACCCACCGGACGTCTTGGACAGGCAAAAATGCCTTGACGCTCTGGCTGCTCTACGCCACGCTAAGTGGTTCCAGGTTCGGAACATCATTTTACTTTCTTCTTGTAGCCTTATGAGAGATTAGTTCAGTTGCAATATGAATGTTTAACTGTGTGAAAACACTCAGCGTTGTTCATGCTAATAATACTTAATATTTCTCTGGTCCCTAAATTTAACTGTAGAAGGTTGAGTATGGAGGAGCTGCTTTATGCAGTTATTGCTCATTTGACATCATTTTTTTTTCCAGTCATTGAGAAGGCGATGTTGAAAGCTTGACTCGCTTGGGGTGATCATATGTTGTATATTTGTTATATATTCCATAAGGCTGCAGAGTAACTTCGCTTTAAATAATGGAATATGTGTTTAAAGCTTTGTGTTTAGATTTAAGACTTTTTTTCTATTTCTTTTAGTGCATTAAGTGTAGGGAATGAAAGGTGAGAAGCAACTGTTTGGTTTAGTGACTTTGCTTTCTGGCAAAGGCACAATAAAGAAACCAAACAGATTCCCTTGACCTTTCAGTCTCTATACCTATTTCTTAGATCTTTACTTTATCCTTTTTATTTCTAATATAGAAAGATACTGTATTTATTGTTTCAAATGAACATGGGTCAAAGTGTATAGGGGATCAAGAAATGTTATTCTTGTATAACCTGTGCACTTTGACTTCTACCACCTTAAATTACTAACCCTGTATAAAATACTGCTGTAAATGGCAGCTCACGGAATAAAGTTGTAGAATGATTTGTTTCAATCTTGTATCTGAGCTTCCATTGAACAGTGGTGTTTTAGTCTTTCAACAAGTCCTGTTTGCTCTGGGTGCAGGGGTTAATTAATTTGATTTTGTATTGCTCTCAAGGCTAGAGCTAATGGTCTGCAATCCTGTGTGATTATCATACGTATTCTTCGTGACCTCTGTCAGCGGGTTCCTACTTGGTCTGATTTTCCAAGCTGGGTAAGTAATGTTTTTTAAATGAGGCTTCTTAATAAATATGTTACTACAAGGAAATTATGGGGAAGTGTTAATACGGTGTTTAAATTCAGACTTTTTCAACACATAATGTAGGGTTTTGTTTGGGATTTTGGGGGGGTTTTGCTGACAAATACTCCAGATTCCCTCTTAAAATACAGTTTTCTGACGTTTTTCATTTGAAGCTGGAAGTTACTGGGTTTTTCCAAAATATATTTTCTTGTTCTTTTCTATTATTTGTGAGTAGATTCCTATTCTAGGTTTTAGCATATTTTTCCTTTACTCTATATAAAAGAACATATTTTTTTCTAACCACCTACTCTGAATTTCTTGTAGTTTGCTGAAGCTTATTTAAAATAATGTCAGCTGTGCCCATGTAGTTCTCTGCTAACAGAAACAACTCAAAAGAAAAAAAATCATGGTTATTCTTAGGTTGATTATGTCTCTTTCTCAAGGGGAAAAACCACAGTGCTTCAGTACAGCCTGTGGTTGTGTCATCATCATATTTTAGTCAGTGTCACTTAAATCTCTGGGTTGTATCAGGTCACCTTTCTTAATTCAGTTGAGTGTTCTTGGAGCATTCCTTTTGCATTGACTACCTTACAAATGCTCCAAGTACTAACAGATGTGCAATCTGTGGATTGGACAAAGTTAGTCTGAAACAAATACCTGAAACATGCATCATGTGTAAGTAAACCTAGTTCTGACTGTTGTGTTTTGCAGACCAAATCCATTTGCACTATGCTGCTTCCTTCTCAGTTTTGACAGGAAGAGCACTACCATTGTTTTGAGCAGTTGACTTTATTTAGATGAGAAATACTTTACAACTCCACTAAGTTTGCAGACAGTTTTATTAAATTACTTACAATAATATTTATTGCTTCTGGAAAAGGAGTGGAAAAGTAATGTCTGTTTTTTTAAATATTTAAATGGAAAAAACTAGTGCCAGTTTCAGTACTGCACTTCATGAAAAGTACACTAAACAAATACAGTTTAAAAGATGTTAAGTGCTCTCTTAATATCACTGTGATACTGAGTTGCCAGAGAATGAACCCTGGGCATACTTTCAGAAAAGTATCCTTACAACTGTTGCAACACAGAGCAGGGATATGGATGAGGAACAAGGAATGTGCTTCTTAATTCTCACATTATGTGTTCCAAGGCACATCCAGAGGGAAGAGAGATATGAAGCAAGGTGTCAAACCTCGCTATGTCTCAGTTCTCTCCAAAAGTGATTCCTGATTTGTTCCTGGTGCCTGATGCATTCTCAGTGACATGGATCAGTACTGGGCTGTAATCAGCTGTTCTTTTGGCCTGTAGGAAAAATCTTACTGATAAAAACAATGACAAAATTAAAGTGGTGATTTCAGCTGATGTGGATGGAATTTCATAGATTGGAGTAATAGAGTTTTCTGAATACAGATTTTCTCTTACCCTCTATACTAGAAACCTTTTACAAATGAAAGAGATGACAGAGTTTTTTTTTAAAAAAACATAAGTAGTTGTAAAAATAGAAGTTAATAGGAAGCCTGAATGGCCACAGTAGTAGCATTTCATGGCCACAGTAGTAGCATTTCATGTACCAAAAAGTAAAAACTAAATTAGAAGAATTTTGTCAGGTTCCTACAAATTATTCAGATTTGAAATCCAGCCTTTTGTGCATATAAGCACCAGGACATCATAATTCACGTTTTCCTAGTACTGAGTTATAGACCTCAGTGTATTGTATGAGAATCCAAAAGAACTCGATTTTAATATATGCAAATTCAAGATCTGCTTTTTTTTTTTCTTTACTGATGCACTTTGTTTCCTACTTGAAAACATATTAATTACTGTTGCCAAATCCTGACTGATACAGCAGGAGTATGGAAATAACATGCTCAAGAATTGAAATCTGTCAGTTACATGGAGCTACAATAGAAAGGAATGGGCAGCTTTAGTGATTAGCACTGCCTGTAGTTACTTGCATACATCAGAATAAATATTTACACCTTGAAAGGAAAAAGAAAAGGTAGCATTTGAACAACTGTAGATGTGGTGAGGAGGACAAGGTCCAAACAAAAAGTGCCTCCAAAAAACCTACCAAAAAAAAAAGCTATTGTTTGAGAATTAAACTTGCCAAAGAGGCAGTGAAACATCTATCTAATTCTGGAAAAGAGATCTAGAAAGTTAGTTCTTTCTTTTACAAATACTTTTCTAGGTTCTTCTGGGAAAAAATAGTGTCTAATAAAAGTTAACAAAAGGAAATATTCACAGAAAAAACATCAGTACTTAAAACACAGCTAATGATTTAAACCATTTTAACTAACATCAATATGTTAGTTATGTATACATTCTGAAAATGAAATGTATACATTCAGAAAATATATTTATCATAGAGGGTTTTTTTGTATTTGTTTAACATCTGAGTTGATACTGCTTGCTAACCAGAAGAAAAATTGCTGTGAGCTTCAGTTTTGCTAAACTGAAGGACTAGTGAGGGCATTAAGCATTTTAAGGACATTAAATTTTTGATAACTTTCTGTACTCTTGTTATATTTTTCTAAAGCATCCTATTTCATTTAGTATACCCTGTACTGTATTCACGTGGCTGACAGAATCAAGTGTCCCAGAGTGTTTCATACTCTCAAAAATGGTTGGAGAAGTTGTCTACCTGTACATGTAGGCTACTACTGTGTAAATTTCTACAAAATTACTGAAACACTTGTGATGGGAAGAAGCCCATCATAGAATCACTGAATTGTTCAAGTTGGAAAAGACCTTGAAGATTATCAAGTCCTATTGTTAACCCAGCACCACTAAACCATGTCCTTAATTGCCATTTCCACGTGTTTTGTGAACACTTCCAGGGACAGTAACTCTGTCAACTCCCTGGGCACCCTGTTCCAATGCTTTACAACCCTTTCAGTCAAAATTTTTTTTCATAATATCCAATCTAAACCTTTCCTGGTGCAACTTGAGGCCATTTCCTTTTGTCCTATCATCATTTATGTGGGAGAAGAGACCACCCCCCACCTGGCTGCACCCTCCTTTTAGGTGGTTATGCACAACAATAAGGTTACCCTGAGCCTTTTTTTCTCCAGGATAAACACCACCAGCTCCCTCTGCAGTTCCTAACAGAACTTTGTGCTCCAGATCTTTCCCCAGCTCTATTCCTTTCTCTGGACACATTCCAGCACCTCAGTCTCTTTCTTGTGAGGGGCCAAAAACTGACCCCAGGATTTGAGCTGTGTCCTCACCAGTGCCCAGGACAGAGGGGCAGTCCCTGCCCTGGTGCTGCTGGCCACACCACTGCTGATACATTCAGGATGTCCTTGGCCTTCTTGGCCACCTGGGCACACCCTGGCTCATGTTCAGCCACTGTTGAGCAGCACCCCCAGCTCCTTTCCCACTGGGCAGTTTTCCAGCCACGCTGTCCCAGCCTGGAGCTGCAGGGGCTGTTGTGACCCAAGAGCAGGACCCAGCACTTGGCCTGGCTGAACCTCACACAACTGGCCCTGGCCCATGGATCCAGCCTGTGCAGATCCCTCTGCAGAGCCCCCTGCCCTCCAGCAGGTCAGCACTCACACCCAGCTTGGTGCCTTCTGCAAACTGGCTGAGGGTGCTCTCAATTCCCTCATCCAGATCATGAATAAGCACGACTGGGCTCAGCACTGAGTGCCGGGGACACCACCAGCGACCAGCTGCTAGTATCAGTACTCATTGTTCATCCAGCACCACCTTTCTTTTTATTCATCTTTATAAAATAACTGGGGTTTCTCGCATTTTAACTTAAAGCGTTCTATGATATGTAATGTTCTTCAAAATTCAAGATTCAAAATTCTCTACTGAGGAATAGTAACAGCTTTATTCTGTCTCTGTCCATCTTCCAATTTGACTAAATCCTCCTGTTATTGGTCTAGGCTATGGAGCTGCTTGTGGAAAAAGCAATTAGCAGCGCTACTGGACCACAGAGTCCTGGGGATGCACTAAGAAGAGTTTTTGAGTGTATATCTTCAGGAATCATCCTTAAAGGCAAGTTATCTTTTGTGTATTTACTAATCCATAATCTTGCTCGTAGTAAGGTAAAGATGTGTTACTAATTAGCCTGATTATTGTAGGTGGTCCTGGCCTTCTGGACCCTTGTGAAAAAGATCCTTTTGATACACTTGCTGTAATGACAGATCAGCAACGAGAGGATATTACTTCAAGTGCACAGGTAAGGGAATGTAATTGTGAAGTAACTAAATTTGATGGATGGTTTTGTTTTGGTTCTGGTTTTTTTTTTTTTTCAATGTAGCTTTATATTGGACATGAATTTTTTTTTTTTTGCAGAATGTAGTCAGATCTTACCAGCCTTGAGCTAGGCATTGAACGTGTCACAGGAGAGGATGTTCGTAGTGTTCATTATTGCACTAAAATAAACGTACTTTCCTGAACAATTTCTAGCATTCTCATCTATATCTATATATCTAGATCTAGATCTGTAAACAGGCTCTACAGCACTATGTTACTAGATTGGAAATTTTATAAATACATCTGTGTAAGATTTATATAATTGTTGTGACCATTGGTGCTTGCAGTTTAAGAGGTTACTGCGTCTGCCTCTTCATTTGATCCTGTTGCTACTGATTCCTGACCATGTGTCACCCAGTGTGACATGTGACAAGCCTTGGCTGCTTCACTGGAAGCCCAGAAGCCCAAACACATGTGCATTAAGCTAAGACACTGCACTTAGAGAAGCAGCAAAAGTGACATACACATTTTATTGTGTTGATTTTGTTGGGGGACAGAAAGATGGAATAATTAGAGCTAAGGGTAATATCACACATCACTGGTGTTCTTCCTTAATTGTTTGACAAAGTGCTCAAAATGGACATTTGTTTGTAACACAAGTAATTTTCTTTACCATTTTTCTAGTTTGCGTTGAGACTCCTTGCGTTCCGGCAGATACACAAAGTTCTAGGAATGGATCCGTTACCACAGATGAATCAACGCTTCAACATCCATAATAATCGTAAAAGGAGAAGGGACAGTGATGGGGTTGATGGGTTTGAAGCAGAGGGAAAGAAGGACAAAAAAGATTATGATAACTTTTAAAAATGTTTGTCATCATTGCTAATATTGATGGTAATGAAAAGTCCATTTGTTGCCTTGCTTTTACTTCATTCATAATGATGTCTGTTTAAAACATCCAAAACCAGCTTCTGAATTAGACTTGGAAGAGAACAACCTAGCTCTTCTGTGAGATTCTGAATATTTTAATTGGATGTACTGTACCAGACAATTATGGATGGAAAGACTGCAAATGGAAACTTGTCATAGGAAAACACAGTTTTCCCTCATTGTGTTTTCTTTAAATGTGTTGCTAAGTTTAGTATCTTTTCTTCTTTTTTTTTTGTCTTTTTTATTAACAAGTGCATTGTCTTCCTATCTTGACTGTATTTAACGCAGCATTTGTGCTTCTGTTGCTATGTGTATTTTGACTTTTTATTTAGAATTATTTTTATTTGCCTTTGACACTAGTTGTATGAGTTACTTTGTGTTAGGTAGTAAAACAGTTCCCCTCCCAATTAATATTTTACAGAAGGGGTTTTTTTTCCTTTTTTTGTAAAATGAGACTGCAGGATCATGTTTTTTTCTAAATGTGAAGGGGTTACAACACAATTGTCCTGCCATTTGAGTGCTCAGAATTAAATGTTTTTGCCAATCTTGTGGCATTTGTCTCCTTAGTGTGATATAACGGTGTAATTAAGACAAATTTGTGTTAATCTAATCGAGTTTGCTGTTAGTTGTGCATTAGCAGTATAAAAGCTAATATATACAGTATGGTCTTGCAACAGTTTTAAAGCCGCTGCATAATTGATCAAAGATTTGCATGATGGGTTTTGTTTTTCTTTTTTTAATAGAAGGGCTTTAAAAACTATTATCTTAGGTTAAATGCATAGGTCTTTGTATGATTGACTTCGTGACATAGCAAGGCCAAAAAATAACTTTCTGAATTTCTTTTCTCAACAAGCAAAGGTGGGCATTTTCCATTTAGACAAAGTTAGTCATTCTTTTCAGTCAACTTTGTCAGTATGGTATTAATGCCTCTCAGCCCTTAAAATAAATGTTTGTCATATCAGTGCCTGTGAGGTTATTCCTTATATCTGTTCCTGTATAAACTTTATGTGATTTTTTTCAATAATTCAAATTTTAAAAGTGAAGTATTACTTAAAAAGTGAAGGTTATCAAAGAAAAAAACCCAGAAAATTATTTGCTGTGGCCATAGTGTATGCTTATGTCTCTTTCAAAAATCTAAATATAGCAGTGGTGTAAGTAAAGTTACATCATACTGTTGATGTATGCTCTGGTACACAGGTGTGATTTGTTGTCACAGCACTACAGTGGAATACACAAATAAAAGTTAAAATTTATTAAACGACTAAAATTCATTACACACTGGAAACTGAAGTTTCACTTACGCTGTTAAATGTGTATTATGCTTTGTTGCAGACCCATAAAACACAGATTAACATAGACTAACATTCCGGTAGCTACTTTATTGATGGCTGTAGAAGAGTATCACATGTGACAAAGATAATTTGTTATTTCTGATACCATTTATTAAGAAAAGTCCAACTTCTGTTCCATTTCAAGGTCGAATTTATCTTTGACCTTTTTAATAAGCAACTATTGGAGCAGGGGGCATGTTTCTGTTCCCAGCATCTACTGCTAACCAGTGTGGGCCTATGGAATAAAAATACAATATTTTAGAAAAACTGAGGGAATCTAAAGACTTAAAAAAGAAAAACACTTAATAATAGTGTTCTGCAAGCATCAGAGTGCAATTTTCAAGGGAGTGATTATAAGGGGTTAGCATATAAAAGTAAAGCTTTCTCATTGTAGGAAAGCTTTCTAAATAATTAGAAATACAAAAAGCAGAAATGCTTTGAAGTTACTTAAAAAATTACACTCATTTCGTTGTCCAGCCTTCATGCATAGCTCCAAGCATATGCTTGTTCTAGGGGATATCTTGCTGCCATTGTGTCTAGTTAGCCATTACTATTTATTTTGAAAGCTACAGGTGCTATTCATGTGGCTAGTTCAACTCCATACCAAAGTTTCTTTCCTCATAAGGCAAACTTGTCTATTCAGGAATGTGACCCTAAAAGGATTAAAAAGGTCAAAGATGTATTTTAGATTTTCTGTATTTTTGTTCTACTGGCTTTTAGCTCCTAACCAGTTTCTGGATCTTTTGAAATATTGTATACTTAAAGTGATTCCACATTAAATATGAAGCTGTGACCATGATTTTTGTGCTGTGTGGTGAAAGGTGAATTTGCGGTTTATTTCTGGTGTTCTTGCCCATTTTAATGGATAACTTCTGACTCTTGTTAACAAATCTAAGAATGTAAAGACAAGATTTTCAAAAGTACAGAGCTAGCTTTGACTTAAAGAGTACACTGTGCACTTGGGAAGGCAAAACTGACTAAATGAGCATTTTAATACCCTGTGTTTTGGTAATGCTGGCAGTTTATTAATAAGCACTGTTCACATTTTTTATTCAGAAGTGCTTTGTGTTAAGTCCCACAATTACAAACACTGTAGTCTTCATTCACAAAAGGGAGATGTACACAGAAAGGATATTCCCCCCAGGCTCACCGCAGAGGAACAGTTTGTGAACATGTGAACTGTTCTGTTTCAAAGCTTTTTTGAATTTTGACTTGGCTTCCTAGTTCATAATTGTGTCCTGTCTGTGGGCAGAGTGGTTTCACATGGATCTGTGCATGAAGGCACTGTTAGAAGATAAAGTCTGTTAGATGCAGTCCATCGACTTCTTGCCCTTTTATGAAATTCTAGATGAACAATTAAACCTGCAGAACTATTGAATATGATGGGTTCATTTGCAGCTTCTATTTTTAGACTTTTTAGTACTTAAAATTTTTCTGCCTAGAAAACTTTCAACAGTTGGAATCAGCTTTAAATATTCCTGCAAAAATGTGCACGAATATTTAACATTCTTTTTGCTGGTTGAATACCTGCTGATCATTAGTCTGTTAAATATCACACAATGCCAAATTAATTTCTTTATTAAGCAATTAAGACTTGTTTGGAATAACCAAACAGATTTGAATAGCATAGCATTAATAATGGTGGACAATAGACAAAGTTAGCAATGGTTTCTTCCATTTATATTTCAGTTTTACAAAGTAGAGTGATAGAGTCAACAAAATCATCTGTTTTCCTTCATTTTTTTTAATGACAGCTGTAAACCAAAGAGCCTTTTAGCCAGAAAGGCTAGCAAATTAAATTACTCTTGAGAGATTCTTTGATTGATCTCAGAAGATCTTTTTGTCCTTCAGTATGGTATTTCTCAGACTTTCAAAATGAAAGAGATAGCTGGTATTTTTGGAAAAGAAAAAAAAATCCAAGGAGTGTTCTCTATGGACTTACTACAGCAGTTTTGAATTATATCCAAATGAAAATCAGACTTCATTCCATAAATATCTATTAATCTGTATTCTTACACTTTGTTCCACTTTTTTGGCTTGCATTATGAAAGTCTGAGAGAAGCTTGCTGTTTTTTATTGAACTTTCTGATTGTTTACAGTTTGCATTTTACGAAACTGCCCTAATAATACTCAACAAATGTCCAGTTGCTAGCAAGGGCAAAAGTCACTGTTTGTCAAGGACTGGCAGCTCTTGCTGGGGATGTTGACCCTGCACAGTGCACACCGTCCCACATGTCATGGTCCTTGCATACCTGTGTTAGTAAGGGTCATAGTTTAGAAAGATCTTTAACACTTGTGTTTTCTTAGACTTTTGCAAAACCATGGCCACCAGTATTTATTGCAGGGTAGTTTAAAGCATACCAGCTTGAAGAGGCTCAGCCACTAGGTTAAATAATATATATTCTGCATCAGTCCTGTTTGAGCTGATGCCTTGAATCACAATAAACAGAGGATGGCATCAAGAAACCTTTGTGGATTTTGTAAATTTTCTGTCATTAAAAATCTAAGACCAGAGAGTCTTGGTCAGTTACTCCTGCAGAACGGAGTAACTGACCAAAACAAAATAAATGGTTTTTTCTACAGTAAAAAGGTTACTTTAACATTAAAAGTGAGACAAAAGGTCTCTTGTTTCAACACAAGAATCACAAACCTTGCTCCTTATATAACCTCCTTTGTTTCCTTTTCTGCATGCTGTATTGTGTTTGTATCAGTAAGATGCATATATAATCAGACTATGTAAGACAAGCTTATCACAGACTTCTGGCACACATTTAAGTTTGACAGTAATTTTCTGGTTATACAACTTAATGAACACTCTGGGAGAGATGAAGGTGCCTGAATACAGGAGTTTACTGTCATGTTTTACACACTCCTGGGCTATGTGCTGCTCCAAAAGGGGATGGGTTTCATCGGAGGTGCTGGCCCACAGCTGCCAGTCCTACATGGATACCTCAGCATGGCTTAGGATGTTGAGAATGCCACTGCTTAGGTAACTACTTCATATTTTCACACGTGAGAGAAAAGCATGGTACATTTAAGAACTGGAGCCATAGTGATCCAGGATGTTGCCAGTATAGTCATATGAAACTGCGGCTTCAGGAAAGTGGGATAATCATGGTGGTATCAGCAGCAGAGGGTGCTTGTCACAAGAAAAGTGTCTGTGATAATGAAATGCCATCCCACTTTCTACTAATAACTCCAATATTTTATTTGTAAGTGGAAAGGGAATAAAATACAAGAGAACAGACTTTTCTGTATTGACAGGAAGGGACCTACAGTCATTGTCAGTGACTTGCCTGCCCACTCAGGGCTGCCCACTGTTAAGGGCACTGTCCAGAAGCTGTTGAGCACTGACAGACTGGGGGGTCCACCACTTCTCTAGGAAGCTGCTCCAGTGCTTGACCACCCTCTCTTTATAGAATTGCCTCCTAATGGGCAGGAAAGCTCTCCTGGTGCAGCTGTGAGCTGCTCCCTCATGTCCTGTCCCTGGATTACAGGGAGGAGAGCTCAGTACTTCCCCGTGCCCTTTCCTTCTTCAGGAAGCTGCAGAGAGCAGTGGGGTCACCCTTCAGCCTCCCTTTCCCCGAAGTGGACAAGCCCAAATTCCTCAGCTGCTCCTCACAGGGAGTTCCTTCCAGCCCTCCCACCAGCTTTGTTTTCCTCTTCAGAGCGCCTTCAAGGACCTTTCTATCATCCCTCTCCAGCGGCAGGGCCCAGGCGGCCCCAGGTGAGGCGGCCCCGAGGCTGAGCCCAGCGGGACCATCCCCTCCCTGGGCCGGCTGTGCCGGGCTCGGGGCTCTGGGCTGGGCTTTGTGTCGGGGCTGCCCGGCCGCTGCTGACCCACCCTGAGCCAGCACCAGCCAGCCCCACCTCCCTCCGCAGCTGTCCAGCCACTCCTCTCCCGCTTCATCCCTGTGCTTGGCATTACCCCATCCCAGGTGCAGAATCCAGCATTTGAACTTGGTACATTTCACTCCATTAGGAAAGTGGGGGTGGGGGGAAAAAACAAAACCAAAATACCAAACAAGAAAAATGGTAACACAAAGAACAGAATTAATTAAATGGGTCCAACTTAAGAAATAAGATGGGGAAGGCCATTAGAGAGCCCATCTACAAATCAAAAGTAAAATAAAAAGGAAAAAAATTATATCAATACTCAACAACAGTCAGCTCCAAAAATAGTGTAGTAAATCAAAGAGAAAGGCTCTGTTTCAGCAGAGAGCATTATTGGCAACTCATGCAGCAACTCCCCAAAACCATAACAGAAAAAAGAAGCTCCAGGTGATTAAGGAGTTTAACACTAAAATGGTTTAGGCCAGTGGAACTGAGGTGTTAAATATGTTAACATTCCATGTATGGCAAGTGAGCTGTGGGAAAAGGTGAAGGAAAAGCTGAAGAGATTTTACTGACTTTTCATGCATCTCTCCTGCTTCACGGACAAGTACATCTGGACTCCGTGCCTTGCATGTGAATGGAGAGTGTTAAAGAGTGTGTGAGGACACTTTCCCACACATTTGGAAACCTAAGTGAATGCTCCACAGCCAAAAGGAAAAGTGCAGTTTTATGCACCAGATCCTCAGGGCTGTGTTTGAAGTGTCCCTGTGTGCTCCCAGCAGCAGAGAGCGCTGTGTCCTCAGCAGCAGCTCCCACTGGAAAGACAGAGCTCGTTTTCATCTTTCTGTGGCAAGCACGAAGGGAAAACTGACATTTTAGCCATTACAGCGCTCCTCTCTATTGCTAAAGTATGCATTTTAAAATAATTTTTAAATAATTCTTTAACGATGCACCAAAGTCATCATGGCAGCAAAACCCCAAATAAAATCTGCTAGTGATTTAGAAGACAGCAATGGTTAGAAACACAGCCAGGACTATATCCTGAATAAATTAGAAGTAAATACTGTAGGGGTGTAAAGAAATTACACAAGCCAGAGTAGGCATAGCAGAAGGAAGAAGAGAGATTCGATTTTGAGTCACTGAGGGCTGCAAAGAAGAAATTCTGCAAAGTAAGTACTCCCACTGAGGAAGGCAATCTGAGAAAGAGGTTATAAAGGGAGTGTTGATTAAATGTGTGTCAAAAGACTATCTGGCAAATCATTGAGAACAGGAGGAGAGGGGCATCTCAGATAAAAATCTTGAGTGAGGGGGTAGGGTGTGGCTTTTCTTTCTCGTATCTATTTCTTAAGAAATTTCTTGCAGCTGCTGTCAGGGGTGATTCCAGGGCAATAGATTCAGGATAAGCATTCCTTACATGACAGTGGTAAATCATAAATCAGGATTCTGGATGCTTTAACTAATGTCCCCAGCAAGTCCTCCAGCGTATCCAAAGGCATAAGATGATAATTTACAAGCTATGGGACCAGTTCAGGGCTCCTGTTACAGAAGTAGCCAGGGCTGCAGTGTTTCCCAGGAAGCAGTGATGCATTCAGAGAACACAGATCTTAAACCCAGCGGTTTGGGACAAAGTCCACGCAATAAAATTCCGCCAGTCCTGTCCTGGTTTATATATTCTCCCTGAGGAAAAGTCCCTCTACAAATTTTACCCAGATACCAGAAAAAAAAGATATTTAAAATAACTTATTTCTGTAGAAAAACCTGGAGTTCTGGAAATGCAGGTGATTTCTGGAATCCTCAAAAAAAAATGTTTCCAAATACCCCTCTGACATTCAGGCATGCCAGATTGCCATATGGATATCAGCATGAATATTTGAATTCTAGCATGAATGCATTTTAATTCTAGAAAGTTTGGTCAATAAATTTTCCAAGAGTCTGAAGATAAAAACCACAGCAATTGCAAAGAAA